TAATGTAATAATCATTTTTATCGATTTTAATAATTTGATCAATTGGTTTTTGTATCAACAAACAAATAAATTAAATGTTAGCTTTTTATATAAAAATATTAAAAATATTTAAGAAACATTTCGTTGCACATTTAGCATTTTAGTTTAATTTATATACTGTAGTTTATTATAAATAATTGAAGGCATTTTGCAGCTCCTTCGGAAATTTATTGAGGACCCTCACTGAGAATAACTGATATAAAGACCTCTGTTATAAATACATGACGAGTTGTTTCATAAACAAATCCTTAATTATAAATCAAAGTTTCTTGCGTCATGACTTCATGAATCGTTTTAAACAGTTGCTTACATCATTTTCTGTTCTTATTAGTTGTGGAATTACTCTCTTTAAATATTCGAAATAATCCTGATATCAAGGGGTTGACCATTTTTGATCGTGAGATTAGAATTTCACAACTTGCAGACGATACAACCCTGTTTTTAGAAAATACAAATCAGGTTGCAAAAGTACTTGAAATCAAGCATTGAGTCTATTGATCATCTTTTTATCAAATGCCCCCTTGTTAAGGAATTTTGGTCTGACGTGACGTGTCAAAATTCTTTTCTTCAAAATCTAATGTAGACATTGATGTTACTATGTGTGACATATTTTGTTATTTTTCTCATTGTAAACACAACGTAGCATATATAGGAAATTTATTTATTTTATTGGGAAAATATTATATTCATAAATGTAAATTTTCTTCAACATCTCCAAAATTACATAATTTTCTTTGTGACTTTAACTACTTAATTATAACACTAAAAAATATTAATACCAAAAAAAGTGTCAAATTTGTGAAACTGTATAATGATCTGCTGAATGGTACATAATTTTGATTTACTACCTCTGTATTTTTTGTTTTATCTATGTATTCTTTTTTTTTTTCTCTCTTATTTATTAAATCTTCTTTGTCTTCCTATATAATTTTTATATTCATAATGTCATCCAATGTTACATTAATTGTTGAATGTTGTTTATACTTGCAATAAAAAAAAAAAGTTGCTTACATCATATAAAGTCGTGCTATAGTAAAATTAATCGATTAATTCCTGCAGAGGGCGATGTTGTCAGTACAAAACACGCTCTCCTTTCCTTTGCACTACTGTACATGCATTTTCTTAAACTGCTCTAGTTAGGCTGCTAAACACGAACAAATAGTGTTTATCCACTAAAAAAAATATCCAGTTTAAAACAGTCTAACGTAAGTCATGTCATGTTTCCCCCCTTCTTTGCATTATTTTTTCTTTATCTCACAATGCATATGTAGAAATGGCAAAATGTATATACCAGAATCTGCTGATTCTCAATATATTTTTTATAATAAAGGGCAGTTTATAAATCAGAAACAGTTACTGCTGAGGATATGTTCTTCCATTTTGTAGATTTATTAAAGTGTTCTGTCAATACTCAGTTCTATTCAGACACACAGACAGACTCAACACTGTCAGAAACATTAGATATTAGTTCACAATGAATATTCAACCAGCATGTGACTCAACTGTTATTCTTTTATTGATACAATCATATAGATCACACAATTTGTATTTTATATATAT